GGGTGGAGGGGGGTCTAACTTGCCTCTGTAGTATAACTTTGTTTGTTTCGAAAATAGAAATCCCCCGGCCCCCCGGTCTCTACATCCGTAGATGCAGACAGACATGTTACCAAAATAAGATGCAATGGAATGAATTAAAAACATCCAACAAACAAAGACATGAAATGGGTAATAAAGTTTCGCCCATTTCAAGTGACAAAAAACTCCTATGACTAAGTCGCTATTCTTGCAAAGTCTTCAAGAAGGTAGCGCACATATCCAACTCGAAAGCATGATAACTATTTTCATCATGAATGTTGGATCCAAGAAATGAAGGCTACAACATCAATCCGATAGATGAGAGCAAGTTGGAAGATAGATTGGTGGAACATTTAAAAGGAAGACCCCATGTTATGCATCAACCCATACTCCACCCTCTCTCCATCACATTTTTTGATATGGATTTCTTTTTCATTATTGGATCAATGTTCTTAATTTCTTTCGTCAAACATAAACATGGCCACATGTTGATTCATACACCTGAATTCAGCTTTTGTTTGACGAGATGTTCGAAACAAGATAAACTTTGAATATATTTTTCATTTTGTTACTTTCGAAACAAGATCAACGTCGGATTTTTTTACTGAAACTTACATGTACTCTTTCCGTAAAGAAACATAAGAGCGTTTAGATCACCAAAGTAGTGACCTAAACGCTCTTATATTTCTTTACAAAGGGAGTATTTTATAATTTGCAACACTGCTTCTCCCTCCACACACCGGTCCCACACACATATGCCTTTGTCCCAAATGAAATAAGTTCCGAGTCAAGTTTCAAAGAGCAAAAAGAAAATGAATAATTAAAACCATACTCAACATTGATCTTGTTTCAAAGATCTCGTGAACAAAAAAATGACGGTCAAAGCGGGTCTGAAATCGAACATTTGAATCAAAATATATGATAATTTTAGTGTTAGGGCAAAAAGGTAAACCCATGATGGGGGAGTATGAGGTGAGCAAAAATGCTATACCTATGGATAACTACGTAAATTAGTTACGAAAAGGAGGTCTCCTTCCCTCATTCCACTAATATCTTCCCTGATTTTCAGGATGGGGCCTACTGCAATCCAATCGAAACCAACCCACGTCACTCTTTACATAGAAATTTTCGTAGGTCTAATTCAATAGGCTATAAGATTGCTTCTGTACAAATGGTGTAGTCCAACATATGACCAAATCTGACCCATTGTCTCCATATCCAATGGTTGAAAAGCCAACGGTGCATCCGTGGCACCAACTGCACCGGTGCACTTGATACGTTCTCGGGTTGGGATGAGTGGAGGCGGCGGAGGGTTGGTAGTGACGTGTTAGTGAGAGGGGTTGGCAGCTCTTCTTGTGTTCCTGTACCTCCTTTTTTCTCTACGGAGTAGTAATGCTCATTCTGCAAATTTTAGAATTCCACGTTATCAGCTCAGAGAATATCAATTTGGGAAGTTGAGTATCAAGTGGCCCGGTTCTTTGGCCAGTACTATATTGTTTTGTGCATTCGCGCAGGCAGGCGCCCATGGAAATGGACGATACGACGACCCCTATTTCCCGGGGCTCCTCAGCACCGGTAGAACACGGCCAGAAACATCCAGCAGTACTGGCACTCCATGTTTTGCGTGGCCGAACCAAACCAAACAAAATCGATGATTGCCAATAATTACTCGTGGCAGCCAAGCAACGCCGTTTCTTTCTTTGACCCGTGCTAGGAGTAGAGTACGTACTAGCGATCGAAAGGACGTTTGGTCATGACATGAGATGCTTTGGTTAAAAGGAGCAGCAAAGGAAAGGAAAGCCGTCGTCGTTTGGCCGGGCCGGAGGAGGAGGAGGAGGAGGAGGAGGAGGGGGAGACGGAGACGGAGACGGGACAAGAGGAGGGCGCGGCGCTATGTCGTCACGTGGCGCGGCGCCTGGTCCTAGGCGCGCGTTATTTATCCCGACGCAATCCCACACGGCCCTTGTCACTAGCGCGGTTCTCACATGCTTGTCACGGTACGTACGTAGTGATCTCCCCGTACACGCGGGCATTTCGAGCGCAAGCACTTTTTGGGGGCACCGTTAAATGAACCGCTAAAAAACGGCGTTAGTATTTAAAAAAAACTCTGATTTTCTTGAGAAACTTTCAATCTACTCTCTCCGCCCGGAATTACTTGTCGTGAAAACGAATAAAAATAAATGTATATAAAACTAAAATATGTTCGAATACATTCATTTTTTCGGCAAGTATTTCCGGAGGTAGGAAGTATTCATCTTCAATCATGGTTGTACAAAGAACACCAGAGGCAATCAAAGTTAGAACCACGTCCGTGGACCACCTAACGACGACTACATGCAAGTTTGTTTTAGCATAACGCATACGCACTCCGTATCCCTACGAGCACCTCCGAGATACTGAACCTGCACAACATCTTGAGATTGATGAGGTCGTCACAAACATCTTTGTAGTGGAAGGAAACGTCTTCTCTCAGTGAACGCACATCACTGGAAGACCTGAAATTAAATCCAGAAAAATGCGATCACAAACATCTTTGTAGTGGAAGGAAGCGTCTTCTCTCATTGAACAAACATCTTTGCCAAGTCTAAAACTTGAACCCTCGTGGATTTGATTTCAGCACAAAGAACCTAACCATCTAAGCTACGACTCAATTCACAAAAAATTTCAATCTATCTATCAAACTTCATGGTAGTACAAAGAACACAAGAGTCACTAAAAAATTCCATCCATATCTATAGAGCACCCAACTACGACTATAAACACTGAATCGAGCCCAAGACGCATCGCCGTCATCGCCCTTACTCATTGAAACCGGACAAACCTTATTCTAATAGACAGTCTAATATTTTGTACGAAAAATGGGAAAGAAATTTTGGCGACCAAAAGGTTCTTCCTTCTTTTGCTTACTATCGAGCTGATTGTTGCATTGTGCCAAAATGTAAGGACATCTCCAACGCGTGCACAAAATCGCCTGTAAATGTCCAGGGGCAGAAGGTCAGGACACTCTTTGTCATCTAACGATACATAAAATGTCTGTGAACATGGACAAATGTCTGAAATTTCATAAACTGCTGTCGAACTTGGAAGTGGTTTGGGGGAGCTCGAACATACTACGAGTACGCACAAGCTTTGGACCGCATGATAAACACACTTTCTCTGGGGAAGACTTGTGTGAGATCTGGCATTAGGTGAAATCTACGAGATCAATATTTTTGGAAAACAAATACATGTTCAAACATTCTCAAAACTTTTGTAGACACACATCAATGTTCGATATGCAACCTCAAAAAGTTCTTTCAACTTACATTAATAGAAACAAAAACGATAAAATCAGATGTGAATAGTGTCAATGTACTATTCACCCGAAGCTGCTACCATTCACATTCGAATGTCTTTTTTGAATCTCTAAATGTGCATCGAGTTTTGAGTTGATGTTTGGGGTTGTATATATGCCCGACATGAATGTTGTCAAATATTTTCATATTTTTTTTAAAATGTCTAAATATGATTAACTTTTTGTTGATCTCACGTAAATTACCAGCTAGAGGCAAGCAACACGGGACGAAAATTGCAGTTAAACAAGTGCACTCAGCAGCAGTGACACTACATTACCAGCTAGCTCTAGCCCCCGACCTAGTGGAGGAGACCACCCGTAGCCACCATTAAATACTCGCCGCGCCCAAGAACTGCCAGGACAAGCGAGGTTTTACCACCACCACTAACCCCAATTCAAGGGTTTAAGCTAACCCAAATCTCATAAAAATAGTACTACTCTACACCCGCACACAGCCGAGGACAGAGAGAGAGAGAGAGAGTGTGCGCGCGTTCAAAAGAGCCGGGGAGGGAGCCAGACAGGGAGCAGCGTCTCCGCTCCCGGCCACCTCCTCCCCCGCCTCCATATGCGTCTTGGGTGCGGCTCAAGCAAGCACCAGCTCGACGCAAAGCTCCCCCTCCCCCGCCACCTCACTGCCCCGCACTCCACTCCCACATGCCCCGCCATCGCCCCGCCCCCTCCCACTAGCCACCGAGAGGGCTTCCCGGCCCCATGCGGCGGTGAGCTCCAGCTCGCCCACGCCGTGCCGCCGCTGCTGATCGGATAGGCGGGGGGAAGGAAGGAAGGAAAGAAGCGCTCGTTTCAGACTTTTTTGGCGGGTTTCTTGATCGCCGGAGCGGGAATGGCGCACCGGCGCGGGTGGTTCCTGGCGGTGGCGCTATTGCTGACCGCGCTCGCGCTCCGGCCGGCCGCGGCGCTGTCGTCAGACGGCAGGGCGCTGCTGTCGCTGCTCCCGGCCGCGCCGTCGCCGGTGCTGCCGTCCTGGGACCCGTCGGCCGCGACCCCCTGCTCGTGGCAGGGGGTCACCTGCTCGCCGCAGAGCCGGGTGGTGTCGCTCTCCCTGCCCAACACCTTCCTCAACCTCTCCGCCCTCCCGCCGCCGCTCGCCTCGCTCTCCTCGCTCCAGCTGCTCAACCTCTCCACCTGCAACATCTCCGGGACTATCCCGCCCTCCTACGCCTCCCTCGCCGCTCTCCGCGTGCTCGACCTCTCGTCCAACGCGCTCTACGGCGCCATCCCCGGCGAGCTCGGCGCGCTCTCCGGGCTCCAGTACCTGTTCCTCAACTCCAACCGCTTTACGGGTGCCATCCCGCGCTCCCTCGCCAACCTCTCCGCGCTCGAGGTGCTCTGCGTCCAGGACAACCTCTTCAACGGCACCATCCCGGCGTCCCTGGGCGCGCTCACCGCGCTCCAGCAGCTCCGCGTCGGGGGCAACCCGGGGCTGTCGGGGCCAATCCCGCCCTCCCTCGGCGCGCTCTCCAACCTCACCGTATTCGGCGGCGCGGCCACCGGTCTGTCTGGCCCCATCCCTGAGGAGCTCGGCAACCTCGTGAACCTCCAGACGCTCGCATTGTACGACACCGGCTTGTCCGGCCCCGTGCCGGCGGCGCTCGGCGGGTGCGTGGAGCTGCGCAACCTCTACCTCCACATGAACAAGCTCTCCGGGCCGATACCGCCCGAGCTCGGGAGGCTGCAGAAGATCACCAGCCTGCTGCTCTGGGGCAATGCCCTCTCCGGGAAGATCCCGCCGGAGCTCTCCAACTGCTCGGCATTGGTGGTGCTCGACCTGTCGGGCAACCGTCTCTCGGGCCAGGTGCCGGGGGCGCTCGGGCGTCTCGGCGCGCTCGAGCAGCTCCACCTGTCGGACAACCAGCTCACGGGGCGCATACCGGCGGTGCTCAGCAACTGCAGCAGCCTCACCGCCCTGCAGCTCGACAAGAACGGCCTCTCCGGGGAGATACCGGCGCAGCTCGGGGAGCTCAAGGCGCTGCAGGTGCTGTTCCTCTGGGGCAATGCGCTGTCCGGCTCGATACCGCCGTCGCTGGGCGACTGCACCGAGCTGTACGCGCTGGACCTGTCCAAGAACCGGCTCACCGGCGGCATCCCCGACGAGGTCTTCGGGCTCCAGAAGCTCAGCAAGCTGCTCCTGCTCGGCAACGCGCTGTCGGGGCCGCTTCCTCCGAGCGTCGCCGACTGCGTGTCGCTGGTCCGGCTCCGGCTCGGCGAGAACCTGCTCGCCGGCGAGATACCCAGGGAGATCGGCAAGCTGCAGAACATGGTGTTCCTGGACCTGTACTCGAACAGGTTCACCGGACACCTCCCCGCCGAGCTCGCCAACATCACGGTGCTGGAGCTGCTCGACGTGCACAACAACAGCTTCACGGGGCCCATCCCGCCGCAGTTCGGGGCGCTCATGAACCTGGAGCAGCTTGACCTCAGCATGAACAAGCTCACGGGCGAGATGCCGGCGAGCTTCGGCAACTTCAGCTACCTCAACAAGCTCATCCTCAGCCGGAACATGCTCTCCGGGCCACTGCCCAGGTCGGTTCAGAACCTGCAGAAGCTGACCATGCTGGACCTGAGCAACAACAGGTTCTCCGGCGCGATACCGCCGGAGATCGGCGTGCTGTCAAGCCTGAGCATCAGCCTGGACCTGAGCGGGAACAGGTTCGCCGGCGAGCTGCCGGAGGAGATGTCCGGCCTGACGCAGCTGCAGTCGCTCGACCTGTCGAGCAATGGCCTGCACGGCAGCATCTCGGTGCTCGGGGCGCTCACCAGCCTGACGTCCCTCAACATCTCGTTCAATAACTTCTCCGGCGCCATCCCCGTGACGCCGTTCTTCAAGACGCTGTCGTCAAACTCCTACGCCGGCAATCCCAGCCTGTGTGAGTCCTACGACGGGCACATCTGCGCGTCAGACATGGTTCGCCGGACCACACTCAAGACCGTCAGGACAGTGATCCTCGTCTGCGCCATTTTAGGCTCGATCACTCTGCTGCTTGTGGTGGTCTGGATCCTGTTCAACAGAAGCAGGAGGCTCGAGGGCGAGAAGGCGACGAGCCTGTCGGCCGCCGGCGGCAACGACTTCTCGTACCCGTGGACGTTCACGCCGTTCCAGAAGCTCAACTTCTGCGTGGACAGCATCCTGGAGTGCCTCAAGGATGAGAATGTGATCGGCAAAGGCTGCTCGGGGGTGGTGTACAGAGCGGAGATGCCCAACGGCGACATCATCGCCGTGAAGAAGCTCTGGAAGACGACCAAGGAGGAGCCGATCGACGCGTTCGCCGCCGAGATTCAGATACTGGGTCACATCAGGCACCGGAACATTGTCAAGCTGCTCGGTTACTGCTCGAACAAGTCTGTCAAGCTCTTGCTCTACAACTACGTCCCCAATGGTAATCTGCAGGAGCTCCTCAGCGAGAACAGGAGCCTGGACTGGGACACACGGTACAAGATCGCGGTCGGGGCGGCGCAGGGGCTCTCCTATCTGCACCATGACTGCGTCCCGGCGATACTCCACCGGGACGTCAAGTGCAACAACATACTGCTTGATTCGAAGTATGAGGCCTACTTGGCTGACTTTGGGCTGGCCAAGCTAATGAACTCCCCCAACTATCATCATGCCATGTCGCGCATCGCCGGTTCTTACGGATACATTGCTCCAGGCAAGTGACTTCTACTAATTTGTGTTTATCTTCTACTGTTACTCTCTTCAGCATTTAGAACTGTACACATAGTGTGAGTTCACCAATTGATCTCACAGCTCTGTCACTTATTGGGGCAGTGCTGTTGCCTAAGCAAGAATCTTTGACCTGTGGTTGCTTCTAGTAAGCTTAACAAGTTAACATGGTTCTTCATCCATGACCATGCCGATTGCTTGTAGTTCAAGCCGGTGAGTTGGATTGACTAGGTATTAACTGACATTGTCCTTGGACAGTAGTACTACAACAATATACAGTAGCTGCTAGAGTTTCTCACATCACAAGCATCCTTCTTCACTGAAGCGCGTTGACTTCACGCTGTTGATTCCAATGCTTAGCACATCACTGTCTTGATTTGCGTAATTATACTGAAGTGTAGCAAAGATGATTTCAGTTTGATGGCACAATGGTTTGACACTTGGCTTCTTCATTTCAGAGTACGGCTACACGGCGAACATCACGGAGAAGAGCGACGTGTACAGCTACGGCGTGGTGCTCCTGGAGATCCTGAGCGGGCGGAGCGCCATCGAGCCGATGGTCAGCGACAGCCTCCACATCGTGGAGTGGGCCAAGAAGAAGATGGGGAGCTACGAGCCGGCGGTGAACATCCTGGACCCCAAGCTGCGCGGCATGCCGGACCAGCTGGTCCAGGAGATGCTGCAGACGCTGGGCATCGCCATCTTCTGCGTGAACCCGGCGCCGGCGGAGCGGCCGACCATGAAGGAGGTCGTGGCCTTCCTCAAGGAGGTGAAGAGCCCGCCGGAGGAGTGGGCCAAGACGTCGCAGCAGCCGCTCATCAAGCCCGGCAGCCAGGAAGCCTGATGAGAGCAGTGTCGCAGCTGATTCAGTGGCGCGTCTTCTGCAACAAGAGAAATGGAGGGAGATGATATTTGAAAGGAAAAAGGAGTAGGGTTTTTGATAATTGCCTAGCTAGCTTTGGTTAGGGGTTTCTTGTACAGTTTCAGATGACGTTTGTAGCTCGTTCTGGGGGACTTGAATGGGAAATTTTCTCGGTTATTTAGTTTGCTCTTGCAATACGCCACGCCATTGTGCCTCCCAGTTCACAGTTTACTCTTCACTTCATTTCGCACTTCGTTTGGATGTGATGTGATTCTGAGTAGTGTCCATGTCAGCATCGCCAAGACAAGGACTGAACCACTAGTTCAGTCGAGACGAGTTATTGCTAATCAGCAGACTGTAGTGGATCCGGCAACAGAAGATGGCGCGATAGAATTCAATCAAGGAGATGGGCCGGCCCAGCGGCCCAAGCGAGCGACCAACCCACCGCGTTGGCTCGATGACCATAGCCTGGCCCGTTAATCGAGCTAACGGTAACTGGTTTAAATAGAGATCGATCTCTTCCTGTAATAGGGGGCTAGGATTGGAATGACGGCTTCGGCCGGTGTAATCGGATAGCTGTGAGGGTGGTTGGGTGGCCAGCTACCGAATTTTTCCCCAATTCGAATTCGAATCCCTAAATTCCTCCCCGATCTAGTGAGTTGCTTATACTTGGTATCAGATTCGGCGGTCCCGGAGCTTCCGCAGCATCGCCACGGGACGCGGTGGCGAGATCGGCGGCGATTGGAGGCGATGGACAAGCTGTCCGAGGACGGGCGCGGCGTCTACGCCCTGTTGCGGGCGGATTTCACCGCCGACTTGGACCAGCGCTTCAAGGAGCACGGCGACACCCTTCTCCAAGCTGTCGACAAGCTAATCCAGGCGAACACGACGGCGCTCGATGCTCTCCTGTCGGCGCGGGTGGACGGCGTATGGGACGAGTTCGCCCTCGAGATCGAGCAAGTCCGCGGCGAGCGACCGCGGGAACAAACCGGGCGCATCGAGATCTCGTCGTCACGGATGGCTGGGAGTGGTCGCGGTGGCGCCTCCGACTCCCTTGGCATCGATCAGGAACACCGGGGGAAGGCACATAACACTTATGTCCCTCCTCCGGTCAAAGGTGCGCGTGATTCCACTTTCCATGCTCGTTCTTCTTCCATCGGTGATGCGGGCTACCCGGATACTGCTGATGCATTTTCGTTTGGTGTTCGCGCGGATCTCCCTCGATTCGATGGTGCGAATCCGATGTTGTGGCAGAACAGATGCGAAGACCAGTTCAAACTCTGGAATACTCCGCCGCACCGATGGATTTCGCTGGCGACGTCCCAATTTGAAGGAGCAGCGGCCCGGTGGTTGGAATCAGTCCAGCGCAAGTCGCCAAACATTTCGTGGTCTGAATTCTGCTGCAGTTTGCAGAGTCGCTTCGGCCAAAATCAACACCAGACACTGCTTCGCCAGCTCTTCCGTATAGCCCAAACCAGCACAGTTGCGGATTATGTGGATAGATTCGCCGATTTGTATGATCAGTTGTCCGCATATGAAGAAATCCCCAACACCTTGCACTACACTACCCGCTTCCTCGACGGACTAAAACCAGGGGTTTGCGTTGCAGTGGCGCTTCAGAAGCCTAAGGATCTAGATTCAACATATAACTTGGCCTTGCTGCATGAGGAGCTCGGGGAAGGAGTAACCCATATCAACTCGCCTGCAGGCTTGCGATCAGGTCCATTTCCACTTCCTCTTCCCCCAAAACCCCGTGTCAGTGAAGATCGGCGACAGTCTGACACTCTGAAACCAACAACAACTGACGACAAGTGGTCTGCATTGCGCGCTTACCGCAAGTCCAAAGGGTTATGTTTCGTTTGTGGAGAAAAATGGTCCCGTGACCACGTGTGTAAATCAGCAGTGCAGTTGCATTTTGTTCAAGAACTAATTGATCATGTTCAGTCGATGGAGTCCACCCCGACAGATAGTTCAGAGTCAGAGACAGTTTCTGTTCACAGTATGAGGTTGTCAGCTGCTGCAGTTAGGAAAGACCCCAATGCTCCGTCTTTACAGTTGGAAATTCAGTTGCAAGGGCACACTATGGTATTTTTAGTGGATTCAGGCAGTACTCACTCATTCATCGACAGCTCTTTTGCTCCTGTGTTGGGGCATATTCAGGATACTACTCCAGTTTCTGTTACAGTGGCAGGAGGAGCATCATTGCAGTGTTCTCAGATGTTGAAACAATGCAAATGGAGCTGTTGTAGTGCTGAATTCTCATCTGATTTTCGGCTATTGCAGTTGTCCACTTATGATGGCATCTTGGGCCTTGATTGGTTGGCTCAACATAGCCCTATGCAAGTGGACTGGACTCAAAGGTGGATGTCAGTCCAGCAGTCTGGCAGAACAGTTACTTTGCAAGACCTGTTGCCTGCTGACTTTGCACTTACAGTGATATCATTGTTCTTCGTTCAGTGTTCTGCAACTTCTTTAGTTTGTCCCGAGATGCAAGTAGTATTGGACAAGTTTCCTACGGTCTTTCAACCTCCCACTGGCCTTCCTCCTAGACGAATGCAAGACCATTACATTCCTCTGATCCCTGGGGCCCGACCAGTTTCTGTCAGGCCATACCGAATTGCTCCCTAGTTAAAAGATGAGTTAGAGAAGCAAATTGCAGAGCTCTTGTCGTTGGGAATGATTCGACCCAGCAAAAGCCCTTTTTCCTCTCCTGTCCTCATGGTCAAGAAAAAAGAAGAAGGGGAATGGAGACTTGTTGTTGACTTCAGACATCTGAATGTTATAACCCTGAAGAGCAAATACCCAGTACCCATTATAGATGAGTTGTTGGATGAACTAGCTGGGGCATGTTGGTTTACCAAAATGGACCTCAAAGCTGGATTTCACCAGATCAGGTTAGCTCCAAGGGAAGAGTACAAGACTGCATTCCAAACACACCATGGCCACTTTGAGTTTCTGGTAGTTGCCATGGGCTTAACTGGAGCTCCAGCAACATTTCAAAGCACTATAAACTTTGATCTGTCCCCCCTGCTCAGGAAGTGTGTGCTGTGTTTCTTTGATGACATACTAGTTTTTAGCAAAACATTTGAGGAACACTTGGAACATGTTGCTCAGGTTCTGACAATTCTGCAAGAGAAGGAATGGAAAGTTAAGATGTCAAAGTGTGCATTTGCTCAACAGGAAATTGCTTACTTGGAACATGTCATTTCTGGTCAGGGTGTGTCTACAGATCCTGCCAAGGTAACAGCTGTCCAAAAGTGGCCTACTCCAACTAATGTTAAGGAAGTCAGGGGTTTTCTTGGACTCAGTGGTTACTATAGGAAATTCATTAAGCACTATGGGATTATTGCCAAACCTCTCACTGAACTTCTCAAGAAAGGGATGCCATTTGTATGGACCAGTGTTACTGAAGAGGCCTTTGTGGTGCTCAAACAAGCTCTAACATTTGCTCCAGTATTGGCTGTGCCAGATTTTTCCAAACCATTTACTGTGGAGACTGATGCATGTGAATATGGCATTGGAGCTGTCCTCATGCAACAGGGTCACCCATTGGCATTTGTTAGCAAGGCCTTGGGACCCAAGAACAGAGGTTTGTCAGTCTATGAGAAAGAATACCTGGCTATTCTGTTGGTTGTAGATCAGTGGAGGTCATACTTGCAGATGCAACAGTTTATTATCAAGATTGACCACAAGAGTTTGGCACACCTGCAGGATCAGAGATTGCATACCCCTTGGCAACATAAATGTTTAACTAAGTTACTGGGCTTAAATTACACAATTCAGTACAAACAAGGGAACACCAATGCTGCTGCTGATGCACTTTCCAGGAGACCTCCTGATGGAACAGTTCTTTTCCAGATTTCTTGTGCACAACCTACATGGTTGCTGGAAATTGTTTAGAGCTACAATGGTGACCCTAAAACACAAGACATTTTACAACAACTGGCCATAGATCCTGCATCTAAACCATAGTTCTCTCTGCACCAAGGTCTCCTTCGCTACAAGAACAGTATATGGGTTGGGCCTGATGCAGATCTACACCTTAAATTTTTTACAGCCTTTCATGCTAGTCCAGTTGGGGGTCATTCTGGCTTTCCAGTCACATACAAAAGAATAATCTCCCTCTTCAGGTGGCAAGGAATGAAAACCTTCATCAAAACTCAAGTCCAATCCTGCTTGGTGTGTCAGCAAGCTAAACCAGAAAGAGTTCAGTACCCTGGATTGCTATCTCCTCTGCCATTACCTTCCAAAGCTTGGCACACACTGTCTATGGATTTTATCTCAAGTCTTCCTACATCCTTCCAATACAACTGCATACTTGTGGTGATTGACAAGTTCTCTAAATATGGTCATTTCGTTCCTCTCTCACACCCCTTCAATGCGCAGAAAGTGGCTGAAGCTTTTCTAGACAATGTGTACAAGTTGCATGGTATGCCCAGGATTATCATCTGTGACAGAGACCCTGTTTTCACTAGCACATTCTGGCAACTGCTTATTTCCAAAATTGGAGCAGAGCTGAACATGAGTACAACATATCACCCAGAGACTGACGGCCAAACTGAAAGAGTAAATCAGCAAATTGAGTGTTTCTTGCGGTGTTTCATCAGTGCCCATCCTACTAAATGGAGCAAATGGCTGTCGCTTTGTGAATTCTGGTACAATACCAACTGGCATTTGGCACTGAACAAAACGCCATTTGAAATCATTTATGGGCAGACTCCACGGTTCTTTGGAATATCTGCTTCTGATACAATTGCTCCCGTCGATGTCCAATCATGGTTGGACTCCCGACAGTTGATGATCGCATCGGTAAAACAACACTTGTTGCGTGTTCAGCAGAGAATGAAGCATCAAGCAGACAAGAAATGGACTGAACGAGTTTTTGCTGCCAACAATCTCGTGTTCCTCAAACTGCAACCATACGTGCAATCATCAGTTGTCAGAAGAGCCAACCACAAGCTTTCATTCAAGTACTTTGGTCC